GATGTAGTTTATCGTCTTACCCAGGACACGAATGAGGTAGATCGTCTTACCCAGGACGCGGATGTAGTTTATCGACTTACCCAGGACACGAATGATGTAGATCGTCTTACCCAGGACGCGGATGTGGTTTATCGTCTTAACCAGGACACGAATGAGGTTGATCGTCTTACCCAGGACGCGGATGGTTTATCGTCTTACCCAGGACACGAATGAGGTTCGTCTTACCCAGGAAGCGGATGTAGTTTATCGTCTTACGCAGGACACGAATGAGGTTGATCGTCTTACCCAGGACGCGGATGTGGTTTATCGTCTTACCCAGGACACGAATGAGGTAATCATCTTACCCAGGACGCGGATGTGGTTATCGTCTTACCCAGGACACGAATGAGTTTGATCGTCTTACCCAGGACGCGGATGTAGTTTATCGTCTTACCCAGGACACGAATGAGGTTGATCGTCTTACCCAGGACGCGGATGTAGTTTATCGTCTTACCCAGGACACGCTATATGGAAAGTATAATTCAGTGTATTTATATGAGAGCGGAATTTTATTTCAAGAAACTGCTTAAGAGAGAAGGAGTACGATAATAGTCAATAAATTAATAAAAGTTCAATCGACTTTTCTTACTGATCGATTTCAATGTTTCTGGAAACACACTGCTCATTAGATTTAACTCTGTAATGAGAGAAGCATGGAAATCAATCAAAAAGATAAGTCTATTGAAACATAATTTGTTGACTATATCACTGTGATGATCTCTCTCTCACTATATATATATATATATATATATATATATATATATATAGTTGTATATTTAGGCAGCAATCCTTCGTTTATGCATGTTTCATTAAAAACGACAGGCAATGTAGTACGGTTAAGCTTTTTATTTAATTTTTTTTTGTGTTCTAACAAGAGCTTTCTTTTCTGGACAAAGAGCGTGAAAGAACTGTCCAAATGTTTTATATTTCCGAGCGCTTTCGGCTATACTTTTAGCCATTATCAAGGATGATTCGATTTTTCAGCTTAACTGAGTGTGTGCGTTCTGTGTATGTATTAGTGTGTGGTAGGGATGTTTTTAACTTAACAATATTAACTAAAACAAAGCCACAATTTTGCTAACCGTATTCGGAAATTAAAAACATTAATTTTTGAAAGATTTTTTAATGATAAGAATTATGCAGTGTTGTCAAATTTGCCAATATGATATGACTAATTTTAACGATTTTTAGAGATTTAGTTTAAAATATTGCAAACTATTTTGCTTATTGGAAATATTAAATTCCGTCTATTAGCATCCAATTAAAACATTTTTGATCATATCACCCCATGCAAAGCAGTAAAGTCACTAAGACAGTATTAAGAAACGAAAACAATAGAAGAGTAATCAAAAGACAGTGGATGAAGATTGGCATTGCATTTAAATTTTTGAAGATCAAAGTATGGTCAAAATCCATTAAACATAATTGGGTAGACTGAGCTTCATAGCTATGTGTGTAATCGGTTTTTTAAGTCAGAGTTGCCTTTCTCTTAGACTGGTTGCCAATCAAGGATATAGAATTGGGTCTGCCTTGTTATTTTACGTATAGTTAAGGTGGGTGAGAAGGAATAGATTAATATCTACATATGTACGAAACTGAATGCAATGATTGGCGTCAGAATTTGAACTTGGTTCTACACTTTATTTTTAATTTTCCTACTAAAATTCGGATAAAAATCAATTCGCAAACGTGAGAGTGGTGAGGCGAACAATGTTCAAACAACGAATGGTGGAGAGATTTGCGAAATGGTAGGAGATTCCAACAGGATGAGGATTACTCATTCGTGTTGGGTTCAGCGTTATGTGCTTCGCCAGAAGAGATGAATTCGTTTTTTCCTTTCTTTTCAGAACATTTCGGAAATGTCTTCGAGTACTTTCAATCGGAGGTTGGCTAGTTGCTAGCGAAAGCCGACTCTGTGTTTCTGTGTGTATGTGTGTGCGTTTATGTGTGTATGTATGTGTGTGTGCATGTGTGTGCGTGTATGTGTGTGCGTGTATGTGTGTGCATGTGTTTGAATGTATCTGTCCATATTTGTGCATGTATGTGTGCATATGTGTGTGAATGTGTGTGTGCGTGCATGTGTGTGTGTGTGTATATTTGTTTGCATGTATGTGTGTGTGTCCGCGTATGTGTGTGTATATATGTGTGTACGTGTGCGTGCGTGTGTGTGTGTGTGTGTGTGTGTGTGTGTGTGTGTGCATGTGTGTATGTGTGTGTGTGATGCACTTCACAAAACCGGTAGCAATGACGTAAATTATTTCTCAAGTACTAAGAGTATGGGTTAATTAACATCACTGAACAGATGAGACTAAGTAAAGCAAAAAGAAAAGGAAACCTGATTTTTTAGGTGAACAAGTGATTGGAAGTTCTTAAATTTGTCTGTTAACATCCCATCAACAAACTAATCTCTCTTACGCACACCTTCAGCAACCCCAGCAGACGCACAGTCAGTCTCTCTATTTTATTTTTCAAGTATTTTTCTTTCTTTTTTAAGAAACAACTAATTAGACTCGTTATAATAAATCGACATTGAACAAGAAAGGACAGATTAAAAGACAATGTGGATTCTTGGTTTCATTGTAGTCAGATGTCTACAGCCAATTATCTTATAAAATCATAGCCAAAGAATCAATTTTATCCAACTACCCGTAATGATTTTCGTTCAAGACTTTCATATGAATATGTAAACTCTCAGCTGTAGAAAACTGCTCTCTCGGATAATTTTTATACTAATCTTCGACCAAAACCCGTCCTGGGTATGACGATAAACTAGATCCGCGTCCTGGGTAAGACGTTAAACTACGTCCAGCAGCAAGGCCTCTGATCAGGAGGTTTTGAGGAGTGTGGAACCATCTCTTAATTGCTGGTGTTCCCAGGTCCACCCTGACCCGGGGTGGTAGCACCTGTTAGGGTCCCAGCTATGGGCAAATAGTTAACACCCAAATTTGTTTAAAAATAGGTTTTAATACCAGAAATACTTTGTAATAAAAAATAAATTATTACCAGCAATAATTTTGAAGGAAAAATTATCAGCAATATTTTTTTTTAAAATATCAGTAATACAAAATGGTTTCGTGTCAGTTGCAATCTTCAAAAATTTACATGCACTGTCATTCATCATCTTCCGTCTCACTGAATCCTGTTTTTTTTTTTTATTGTACTTTCTCCTCAATAATGCCTTTTTTTTTTCAGATTCTTTCGCACTCAGTAACCCCCTTGAGTCTTAGTGACTTTATCACCGTGCTTGGAGTGAAACGATTAAAAAACAATTTATATGTGTAACTAAGTATGCAGTATTTACTCTATTTAAATTCGGAATATTGTCTTCATCTTTGTTGTTGTAATCATGACGTTTCGGCCGTTGTCCCATCCGGCCTTCTTCAGGTGTATAGTGATGTGGTAAGCTACACGGAATGCTGAACTGAAGCCTTTATTTGATCTACGTGGGTATACTGTTCTCGGTCCAGGGCAGTGTTTCACAACCTTTTTAAACAATGTCGCACCTAGGAGCAAATATCACGGCACACTTAGCAACATTTTTTAAGTGTATATATTTAAATGTTATGAAATAAATCAAAGAATGTAGAATTATATGAAAAAAAAGGTTAATGTTCATTTATTCAAATAAACGAAAATTTTAAAAAGTTAAATTTTAAAAAATAAAATACTTTATAAAAAATGAATATTAAAACAGACTATTTAGAATGACATAGTTAAAAGAATTATTTGAAAAAATGTTTAATACTTATTCATTTATCCAAATACTAACGCTGAGCCAATACTACTTCCACACACACATATATATGTGTATGTCGTGACAATATTTCGCAACATGGCGGTTGAGAACGACTGGTGGAGGGACATCGTCTAGTTATTATTTTATTTAGTTCTTTTATTGCCTCAGCCACTTCCATTGAGTGCAAGTAAACACTTCCTGGCACAGGAATTGAACTCACTATTAGGAATTGTTTCTGTTTTGGCAGAAGCTATTTCAATAATAAATGATTAATCAGTGGAAGTATTTATTTTCATATATAAAGGGTGTTCCAATAACTTGAACCGATTTTAAATGTGAATTAAGTTTAAGCGTCTAATTATCTTCTTTCTCTTTCAGATTTAACAATTTAAGTCTTTGGCATTTTCAACCATGGAAAGATTAACAATCAAGCAACTCGTCAAAGTTGTCGAAGCCTATTACGAAAATGGACGTTCAAACAGAAATGCATTTCATGGACTTCAAGATTTGTTTATTTTTGTTGTTGTTTTTTTTTGGTGGGGGGTCAACATAATCGACCGACCGAGAGTGCAGTTGGAAACGACGTAACGTTGTTGTGGAGAGGTTCAATTCATGCGCGCCATGACGAATAGAGGTGTCTGGATTTTCGGCAACATTCTCGTGCACTGAAGCATTGTTTTTAGCTGAACGGAGTAACCGAGCACCCAGTGGTGTTTTCCCATCTGCCACCGACCCAGCTTGTTTGAATTTACGAACAATTTTTCCAATTGCACTCTTGAAACTTTAACACATTGTTTGATTGTTAATCTTTCCATGGTTGAAATTACCAAAGACTTAAGTTGTTAAATCTAAAAGAAAAAGAGAAAAAAAAGTCATTAGACGCTTAAACTTAATTCACATTTAAAATCGGTCCAAGTTATTGTAACACCCTTTTACATGAAGTATTTATTTTTTTATATATTTGTTTTGCTTCTGATATTTCCTGAAAGATACGCTTGATTCCAGATTCAAATGATAGCCCAAGTTTTCTTTTTCCCCTGTTCTTCAAATGATAATTTTGCTCTTCTAATCCTTCTAATCTTCCAATCTGTTAATCCCTCGCAGGCAGTTTACTGGGATGTCGTTATCTGAAATCGCACATCACGTGTAATCGGTTGATTATCGCTGTGGGGCACTATCCGAAAACTGCTGCAGATGTATGGAGCTCAAAATAAAAGATACAAGCTTACGGCCACAGCCTGTTGAAACACCGGTTCCCGTACGATCACCAAAGTTAAGCAACGTCGAGCCTGGTGAATACCTAGATGGGTGAACGCTTGCGAATACCAGCTGCTGTAACCTTGGATGTGTAATGGATAATGGCTCGGAATTGTTAAACGAAGTGTCGTGTTCAAATTCCTGTTTAGTTCATTATAATTATTTACGTGTAAATACGCTTGGAAAAAGTATGAATCTTTCTCTTCCCCCCAGCTATGGGTAAGACTTCTATCACTAAACTATTATTTTCTCCAAAAAATTTCTTACAATCCAAAAATATTTTCTAGCTTTGAATAACCTGCAAAAGGTTGGTAATCCATAGAAAACGAATCAATCCATTTAAAAGATATCAAAATAGATTTTGCACTCAGTATCACACCAGAGCATCAGAGGAGTTGATTTAAAAGGTATCATCATAGCCTCCAGGTGTAGATTCGCGCCGCACACACTATCAGTAGCTGCCTTAACATGTAAACAAGTAACTGGAACAGCTGAGCTTAGGATTTTCACACGTGATAAAAACCAGATGACAAGTGGATATATAAGTGCCCATTTTGGAAGGGAAATGAGAGGTCTCTCAAATATTCGCGAGAAATGTACCAAAAGCCACACACCGCGCGCCAAGATGTCCGGAGTTCAGAAGAAAATAAATAACAATTTTACGTACGAGGGATTCAATCGCGTTTTCTCATTAGTGTGTAAAATGATAACATTACTGTTGTAACCTAGAAATGGATACTGAATGAGAAATAACCAAAATGCAGGTTGGAAATGAAATTGTAATCTTTATAATATCAACAAAATACAATACTCGCCAGCGGCGTGAATGGGTAAACCACTGCTAGTGGTGGACTACACAGACAACATATTACTCCCACTTACAATAGTGTCCAATGTATTTTTGAGGACTGGAGCATTCCCATTAGTGTTCATAGATACGGCATATAACAATTACACAAATGAAAAAAGATTGATGTTAAGAAGCGGTTGTATACAGCTGACAATTTAGATATTTCTGACCGGGTTTGGCGCCACGTATGACGCCAATATGAAAGTCTCGATCGGACGTGACTGTTTAAAAACATAACGCCGGTTTTCAGGTTGATGTTTTGGTTTCGTAACAATTTGCTGTGTTGACTGCAATAATGTAAAGAGAAACAGCAGATCGCCTTCCAAATACTCTCTATCTCGCTCACTCTTTCTCGCGCGTGCGCGCTAGTGCTGACAATGTCGTCCATCATTAAAAGTGAGCGAGAAGGAAAACGTTTACATTTTCTAACATATTTTCTCAGTTTTTAACATTATGGTTCCAAGCTGATTTGGAACAAAGATAAACAGATGGAAATGGAAAAAGACAGAAGAAGAGATTATTAGGAATCGTAAAAACGGAAAGAAAGACAAAGAAATTAATTACCAGAGATAAAGATAAGTAGAGAATATAAAAAGGCATAGTCAATTATGTACCATGCGTGATACACGCTTAGGCGATCATGTACCTTTCGATGCATGACTGATGAGACAGATTTTTTTTCCCTCAGTAGGTTGTCATTTCTTTCTGCGGTATACCAGTTGCCATCCAAAGCTATAGAACCCGGTCTGTCGTGCTATTTACCCATAAAGTGGGGTGGGGAGAAGAAAAGGATTAATACATTTCCTAAGGGTATTAGCACGTAACTGAATGTAATGGATTCGACTGGAATTCAAACTCCAATTCTTCAATCCGAGTCGCTATCAATTACTTCACCGTGTGGATTATCCAAAAAGTGTTTTCTCTTTATTAAATAGGATTATTACATGTCATCGTTGAAGAACGTCTTTTCAAACGAAATCGATCAGTTCCATCCATAGTGGCTTGTTTCTCGTATGGTTGATTAAACAAACATAGAAGTGGTACACTTTTCCAAAATTAGGGCATCTAAAAAGACTGGATGACAGTAGAAGAATGATTCTGCATATGACATCTTCAGCTGCGTTCCACTGCTTCCAGTGGCATCTTTGCATATTTTGTGAATTGAACAGCGTCAATGTGTAACATTGTGTGTATAAAATAAAGGAGACTAAGTTAAGCTTAAGGATTAAAAAGGAAAAAAAATCTCTTAACTAATAAACAGCAAGGGATATTGTTGGAAGCATATAGCGTTTCTGAAATATTATATATTTCAAAGGGTCACTTTACGGCCACATGTCTTGCAGAGAAAAGGGAAAAGAACCAGGATGTGACGGTGCCTTTCTGTCGGTCCGGGAATTGAAACATCAACGATTAGCAACAATTTCTAGTAAAAAAAAAAGCGTTTCTTTTTCGTTCCGAAATGCTAGGATAAAGAAACATCGCTTACTGACTACATGCTCTCTGTCACTGACAAGTAATCGACAAAATTTCCCTAATTGGGAACAATAAAAGTAGCCAAGAAAAACTATATGCGTCGTTCTATTTATTACTGCGCAAAAACCTTCTGGTGAAAAGACGACAGATTTGAATTTCAGTGAGTTTCATAGAACTAGTGAATGTAGTGATGTAGGGCGTGTGTTTTTTATGTACATTGGAGGAAGCGGGCTATATATATAACTATCAAATGCATTAGTCAAACATAAATTCAGTCAGAACTTCAATCTAAAGAATGCAACACTTATTAAAAGAGAAAGTAACTTAGACGGAAAGTTATTGAGACTGCTGCTATCTGATCTTACCAACATATAAATCTACACCACACAGTTTTTAAAATATCTCCTTTCTTCAAAAAGATACTCTTTTCCCAAGCCAACATACATGACTATAAAAACTTAAAAGAATAGGGTTATATTCAAAAACGTCTATTATTCAAAATATGTAGTACATAAATAAAATTATTGAAATAATATGAATAATAATTACATTATTTAAAAAAAAAATTGAATCACTCTTGTTTATTACATAATAAATTATATCACTTAGCATCCTCCATAATTTACCTTAACTCTCAGCCTGATGTGTATTTATGAGCGTTCATAAATTTTAAAATTCTGAAAAATTAACGGCATTTTTTAAAAATGTGTGCCAAAATAAAATCCTTACATTCACCTTGACAAAGTCTATCAGAGGACGAAATATGTCTGCTAGGATATGCCTTCTGAATATATATATATATATATATATATATATATATATAGAGAGAGAGAGAGAGAGGGGGGGGGAGAGAGCGAGCGAGAGAGAGGATGCTAAAATAAATTATCATCTAAATTACGCAAAAATGAAAATAACAGACATCTCATTTTAACAGATATATTTAGTAAAATTACACAAAAATATCTTGAAATACTAGAGAGTAATTCTATACTATAAAATCGCCATTAGCTTCATCCTCGGCCTCCAAAAGACTTCGGAATCTTTTGCAACTCTTCTGGACGATCTCCTTGTATAACTTGGTGAATGCTGCCATAATCCTTGCCTTCAGTTCATTTTTGATGTTACATGGAGTTTTGTTGATCTCTCGCTCAACTACGCCTCCCCCTCCTCCACATAATAACCAATAGGGTTTGATCTGGGGAGTTAGGTGACCACATATAAGAGGTGATGAGGTCACAGAAATTCTCTAACAGCTATGAGGTATTTCTCCTGCTAGAATGGCATGGTGTAGAGTCCTGTTGCCAGACATAAGATCTTCCAGCAGCCACCCTCTTGACCCAGGGAAGCACTAACTCCTCACTTAACGTAGACCTCCGTGTTGAGTCTGAGGGCCTCACCAACAAATTCGGGGGTTCTTTTCTTATCAGTACGAGCTGAGTGAGTTTTCCGAGCTGCCGGACCTTCGTAATCACCATTAGAATCACCCAACTCTTTCCCAATCCTCTGCTCTCTTCTCGCATTGAAACCCAAACACGCTGAAATGTTCGTCTTAGGGCTTCTGGCGTTCATGCGAAGCAATACAGCATGCCGTTTCCAAATTTCTTGTGCTCTTTTGCTTACAGATTGTGCACAACTATCCTGACTCTACTCTACTGTGCAGTCGAAATTAAAAATATAAAAGGTGATTATTTACCCATAACACTCCATCTCTCTCTCTCTCTCTCTCTCTCTCTCTATATATATATATATATATATATATATATATAGTTTGATGCCGTCCGGCCTGATGAAGCAACATTGAAGTCTCGATTTTGCGAAATAAAATTTCACCATAGCTTTCTGAAGTCTCCGATTTCTTTATAAATTATATATATATATATATATATATATATATATATATATATATATATATATATATATATACACACACACACACAGATATATATATATATTCTGGCCACTTTTTATGCAAATTTTTATCATCCAATGACCTAAGAGCAATTTATTTGATATAGGCATTTAAACACGATAATAATAAACCTGCTGAATTCCATTTCATGCAGTAGTAGGAAAAAGAAAGCTAGTTTAAAGACTTTGACCATGGAATAGCTATTTGTGCCAGTTCGGGCGGATCTGAATACTGCCAAACTGCTGATCCACTAGGATTCTCACATACAACAATTTATAAGTTTTACAGAAAATGACCAGAAAAATGTTTTTGGTGCTTCTCCAAGAAATTAAAGGTTTTCTTAAAAACAATTCCTATAAAGCTCAGATTAAATGGCCATTCCCAAGAATACAATATTTTTTGAATAATCCGGGAGAGTAAACAGTATCAATTGTTTCTTTTTTCAGGAAATAAAAACCTGATAATGGAGGAAACCTTCTTCATGCCACTATATACACAAATCATTTTCTTTAGATGAAGGTCGACCTTTTGTAGTAGTGATTCATTTCGACTGAACCGCGATTTATTCTGTTCAAAGTTGATGTAGAGTAGCCACTTTTCATCGATCCCAATCCCAATCTCTTTTAAAAGCAGAATATTAAAATATCGCCGTTGGTGGAGGTCAGTGCCGAGAATTGGGATGCTCATCGACATTTTCTTCTGTGTGAAATGAGTCCGATGTTGGATCTGAAGAGACGTCCGCAGTCACCGCATGGTATGGTAGGAGAAGTTAGAGGATTTAGATCTCTGGCTTTTCTTTGGTCTCTCTTCCTATCTTCTATTTGTCTTCTGGTGTTTTCGAAGGATATTGTTTTTTCATGGATTGCTCTTCTCCACTTGTTTCTTTCTGCAGCTTCCGTCTCACAATTGACCAGATCGATTTCACGCTCAAAGAGATTAAAATATAATCTAGTAGTTTATTTTCAGCGAGAAATCTCCAGCATTTGCCTTCGCAAGTCATTTTTGAGACATTCGACTTTTTGCATAACCTACTCCAAAAATGCACAATAATATTTTTTTGAATTTGAATAATATTTCTTACCTTTCTTAAAATAAAATAAAGTCCATCTTAACGTAAGAATCAGTGCACAAATATGAGCTAAGTTTGATTTAAACACAGATGCCGCAGTTACAAGTGTTATGATACAAATAAAAGTGATTTTTTGAATGAAGTTAGTTCAAACGAAGCGTTCGCAATGACAGAAACAAAACAAACATTTTTGTCCGTCTAATAGAAAAATCAGTGGGGGCTGATAGAAAGAATTTCCCGTACAAAGGAATAAAGAGAGAAAAAAAGATTTAGAGAAAGAAAGAATAAAGAAGAGAAAAATTGAGAAAAAAAAAGAGAGAAAAATTGTGGGAAAGAAGAAAAAGAGCATAGAAAAAAGCGAAAAAGGACAAGATGAAAAAAAGAGAGACGAAAAAGGAAAAACGGAAGCAAAAAGAGAGAAATAGAGAAAGAGAAAAACGAGAGACGAGATTGACTGATTTATTAATCCGCTTTTTACGGTTTATCAGCCTATTCAGGTTATTTAAAGCCAGAAAATATTTTTAGATAGTAAGAACTTTTTGTTAAATAATAGATCAGTCATACCAGTATTACTAATTAACCCATAGCGGGGGGGAGTGAAGTCTTGATACTTTTCCCAAGAGTATTTGAATGTAAAGAATTCAAATGAAATTGAAACTCGACTCACCGATTAACAATTCCGAGCAATTCATTACACCAGCCGTACTTCCAAGATTACATTACCTGGTATTCGCAAACGGTCACCAGTTTAGGTACTGATCAGTGATCCTACATGAACCAATGTTTCAAACGTTTGGCCGTAAGCTGAGAAGAAAAAAAAAGTAATAGGAGACAATGATAGAAAAAGAAAAATGACAGAAACAGAAAAATGAGGAAAGGAAAAGAAAAAATCGAGAAAAAAAAAGGGAGAAAGAAAAAAGAGGAAAGAAAAATGAGAATGAGAAAATGTAAAAGCAAAAGCGAGAAAAGGATAAAAAGTGACAAAAAGAAAAAGTGAGAAAGAGAAAAGTAGGAAAGAGAAGAAAGAAAAAGAAAGGCAAAAACGAAAAGTTAGAGAGAAAAAGTGAGAAAGAGAAAAATGGGAAAAAGAAGAGAGAAGAAAGGCAAAAACGGAGAGAAAGAGAGAAAAAGTGTGAAAGAGAAAATGGGAAACAGTAGAGAGAAGAAGAAAGGCAAAAACGGAAAGAAAGAGAGAAAACGTGAGAAAGAGAAAAATGGGAGACAGAAGAGAGAAGAAGAAGGGCAAAAACGGAGAGAAAAGGTGAGAAAAAGTGAGAAAAAAAAACAGGAAACAGAAGAGAGAAGAAGAAAGGCAAAAACGAAAAGAAAGAGAGAAATTTGAGAAAGAGAAAAATGGGAAACAGAAGAAGAAAGGCAAAACCGGAAAGAAAGAGAGAAAATTGAGAAAGAGAAAAATGGGAGACAGAAGAGAGAAAAAGATAGGCAAAAACGGAGAGAAAGAGAGAAGAAGTGAGAAAGAGAAAAATGGGAAACAGAAGAGAGAAGAAGAAAGGCAAAAACGGAAAGAAAAATAAAAGAATTCAGTAAGAAAACATTGGGAAACAGAAGAGAGTAGAAGAAAGGGAAAACAGAAAGAAAGAGAGAAAAAGTGAGAAAGAGAAAAGTGGGAAACAGAAGAGAGAAGAAGAAAAGCAAAAACAAAGAAATAGTGAAAAAGTGAGAAAGAGAAAAGTGGGAAACAGAAGAGAGAAGAAGAAAGGCAAACACGGAAAGAAAGAGAGAAAGTGAGAAAGTGTTGTGGTACGATACACCTAATTTACATCAGTGGTACACAATTCACTTCTGAAGAATTTAAGGAATTTTGTGAGTTATATCAAATTAACCACATAACGACGCCTCCGTATCATCCGAGGTCTAATGGACTCGCAGAAAGATTTGTCGATATTTTAAAGCGAGCTCTGAAGAAAGCCTCAGGAGTTCCAACGGAAAAGGCGCTTCAGCAATTCTTACAAGTATACAGAATCACGCCAAATCAGAGAACACACTCAAACATGGCACCAGCTGAACTAATGTTCGCTAGGAAAGTTAAGTCAGTGTTTGACAAGCTTTTGCCAGGAAAAAATAGAGTAAAAAATACCATGTATACAGCGAAAAAAAAAGATACACTCCCGGAGAGAAGGTGTTTTTCAAGTGCTATAAAAACAACGTTGAGTTCTGGGAACGAGGCATAGTGGACAAGAGAATCGGTGACCTGATTTACATAATTAAAGGGCCGAAGAATACTCATAAAAGGCACCAAACCAACTTAAAAAAAGATTACGGTATAGAGCAAGAAGAGTGTATACCGGATGAGGACGAAGATCCCATTGATATAATGTATGATATGTTTCAGGTAGAACCTCCACAGAATATACCTGAACCAAGAAGATCCGGTAGGAAACGGAAGTTGACGGACCCATTGAACGTGAATCCAAAACGGAAAAAATATTAAAATTAGGCAAATGGATCTACAAAGAAATAACCATAATCATCAACCCATATAGGAAGCCAATTTGAAATCCAAAAGGGATTGCAAGGCTTGGGAGGAGGGTGTTGTGGTACGATACACCTAATTTACATCAGTGGAGTACCGACCATATAAATATGGTCTGGTACCGGGAAAATAGTAGTAAGAAGAGATCGAATCCAGAGACTCTGCCCGACTGCGATTTAGTCAACCCATTATGCAGGAACTGTCTTCCCAAGAATATACCAAAACTAACTGTAAATATTGTGTACCCTTTCCTTGTTTCAATACATTTTGTTTACGTACATTTTGTGTTGTATTATTATTATTCCATGCTTATCCAAGTTTCAACAGAAAGAAAAAAAGTAGGAAACAGAAGAGAGAAGAAGAAAAGCAAAAACGGAAAGAAAAAGAGAAAAAGTGAGAAAGAGAAAATTGGGAAACAGAAGAAAAAGAAAAAAACGGAAAGAAAAAATAGGGAAACAGAACATTGGGAAAAGAAGAAGTCAAAAAGGGAAAACAAAATAGAAAAAAAGAGAAAGAGAAAATTGGGAAACAGAAGAGAGAAGAAGAAAGGCAAACACGAAAAAAAGAGAGAAAAGAAAAGAAAAAAAAGAAAACAGAAAGAGAGAAGAAAAAAAACGGAAAGAAAAAGAAAGAAAAAAGAAAAAAATTGGGAAACAGAAGAAGAAAAGAAGAAAAAGAGAAAAAGTGAGAAAGAGAAAATTGGGAAACAGAATAGAGAGAAGAAGTCAAAAACGGAAAGTAAGAGAAAATTGAGAAAGAGAAAAATGGGAAAACGGAGAGAGAAGAAAGGCATAAACGGAAAGAAAAAAAATGGAAACAGAAAGAAAAAAGCAAAACGGAAAGAAAGAGAAAAATGGGAAAAAGAGAAAGAAGAAAAGAATAAAAAAAACGGAAAGAGAAAAGGAAAAAAAAAAGAAAAAACGGAGAAAAATTGAGAAAGAGAAAATCAGGAAACAGAATAGAGAGAAGAAAGGCAATAACAAAAACATAGAAAATGGGAAACGGAAAGAAAGAAAAACGGAAAAAAGAGAAAGAGAAAAATAGGGAAAACAGGAGAGAGAAGAAGAAAGGCAAAAAAACGGAAAAAAAAAAAATGGGAAACAGAAAACATGAAGAAGGGAAAAAATGGAGAACAGAAGAGAAGAAGAAAGAAAAAACGGAAAGACAAAACGGAAAAAGAAAAATGGGGAGAGAAGAGAAGGAGAAAAGCAAAATGGAAAGAAAGAAAAATGTGGAGAAAATTGGAAATAGAAGAGAGAAGAATAAAAGAAAACGGAAAACGAAAAAAGAGAGAAAAAGACAAAAAAAAAGAAAAGAAAGAAAAAATATGGAAAGAAAATTGGGAAACAGGAGAGAAAAAAGAAAAAACGGAAAGAAAAATAAAAAAGGAGAAAAAATTGAAACAGAAAGAGAAAATCGGAAAAATTGAGAAGAAAATTGGGAAACAGAAGAAAGAAGAAGAAAAAAACGGAAAAAGAAAAAAAAGAGAAAAAAAAGTGTGAAACAGAAGAGAAGAAAAAACCAAAACGGAGAAAGAAGAGAAAAGAGAAGAGAAAATTCAAAAAGAAGAAAAAGAAAGAAAGAAAGAAAAAATGAGAAAGAGAAAAGAAAAAGAAGAGAGAAGAAAGGGAAAAACAAAGAAAGAAAAAAGTGAAAAAAGAAAAAATTGGAAAAAAAAGAAAGAAGAAAGGAAAAACGAAAGAAAAAGAAAATTGGGAAACAGAAGAGAGAAGAAGAAAGGCAAAAACGGAAAAACGGAAAGAAAAGAGAAGAAAAATGAAAGGCAAAAAGGAAGGAAAAAATTGAGAAGAAAATAGGAAACAAAATAGAGAGATTAGGCAAAAACGGAAAGAAAGAGAAAGTGAAGAAATGCAAAACGGAAAGAAAAGAGAAAAAAAACAAAAACGAAAGAGAAATTTGAGAAAGAAAAGGGAAAAAGATTCAGAAGAAAAAGAAAAACGGAAAGAAAGAGAGAAATTGAGAAAGAGAAAAATGGGAGAAAGAGAAAAAGATAGAAAACAGAAGAGAGAAAAGAAAAATGGGAAACAAAAGAAGAAGAAAGAAAAAGGAGAAAGAGAAAAATTGGAAATTAAGAGGAAACAGAAGAAAAATGCAAAAAAAGGAAAGAAAAATTGAGAAAAAACATTGAGAAAGAGAAAATTAGGAAACAGAAGAGAAATAAAGTAAAGTACAAACGAAAGAAATAGAGAAAAAATGAAAAAAGAGAAAAAAATGCAAAAACCGAAAGAAAGAAAAAGAAGAAAGAGAAAATTGGAAAAAAGAGGAAAAGAAAGAAAAAAAAGTGAGAAAATTGAGAAAAAATTGAAACACAAGAGAAAAGAAGGCAAAAACGGAAAGAAATAGAAAAAATTTGAGAAAAAAATGGAGAAAATTCGAAGAAACAGAACAGAAGAAAGAAGAAAAAAAAAAAAAACTAAAACAAAGAGAAAAGAAGGCAAAATCGGAAAGAAAGAGAAAAATTTGAGAAAGAGAAAATTCGGAAACAGAAGAGAGAAGAAGAGCAAAAACGGAAAGAAAGAGAGAAAAAGTGAGAAAGAGAAAAGTGGGAAACAGAAGAGAGAAGAAAAGCAAAAACGGAAAGAAGAGAAAAAGTGAGAAGGAGAAAATTGTGTAACAGAAGAGAGAAGAACAGAGGCAAAAACGGAAAGGGAGAGTGAAAAATGAGAAAGAGAAAAGAAAGAAACGAAAAAAAGTAAAGAAGAAAAAAAAAACAACAGAAAAAAACGATGAAAGAGAAAGAAGATAAAAGTGAAAGATAGAAAAGAAAAAAAAAAGGAGAGAAATGTATGTTTTAATTCGGAAGAGAAAACAATGAATGGGAAATGCTGATATGTAATCCAATGGGAAGGAGTCAAGTGTTTGTTCCTCTTACATTATTTTCTGATTCGTTTATTGCAGTCTATTTTCTGTCTGTGAAAATGTGAATGTTTAGAACTGGTTTTGTATGTATGGGAGGGCAGAAGTACAAAAAAAAAAATCATGACCGCACCTTTCGCTATTGATTTCAACTAATTCATTGATAATACGACAATATACGAGAAATGCTTTAGGAATCATTTAAACGTTTTCGTGTGCCCGAGCTGTCGAAGGACGGTCAGACGGTGCTGAATTCTCAACTAACGTATTGTCTGACTTTGAAAGTCTTCACCTTTTTTTTTACTCAGACTGGTAATTAAAAGTTTATTCATAGTCAAAATTTCAGCAGTTATCTATTTTGCTGTTAATGTAGCCATTTTTGTTACTTGTCTCTCTGCGCTTTCCTTTTTTTTTTATAAAAAATAACTTTTCTCCCTACGTTATCTTCCATCTCTCTTTACGTTTTGTGTGCGTGTGTGTGTGCGTGTGTGTGTGCGTGCGCGCGCGCACTGTCTCTTTAAGCTATCGTTTTTATACCTTGTCTCATTACGTTAGATTTTTACACCAGTCTGTTTTCACTATTTTTTTTATACTTTGTTTGCCTACTTTTTAAAAAAAAATACTTTGTCCCTTTACGCCATCTTATACATTGTCTTTCTATGTTATTGTAGTCTGTCTTTGTAAAATAACCACAATGGAAATGGTAGTAGCAGTAATTCTCAATTACTTTATTCTCGTACCAACAAGTTACAAATACAAAAATATATCTGATCCCCGACCACTCAGTTGTTTATATAAACCTGGACGAGGCAACTTATCTGCTTGTGGAAGTCCCCAATTATGTAATAAGACCTTCCATTTCTACCCTATAGTCTCCTTACACTATAATTTAATCTTTTAACCCTTGTCTCCTTTTTTTTATACTGCTTGTCTAATTTCGTTATCTTTTGACACATTGTTTTCTTTTCATTGTCACTTTATAGTGACTTATACCTTGTCTGTCTACGCTATGTTTTTTTTTATATTTTGTGAGCCTACATTATCTTTTTTTTACCTAATCAACCTACTACGTCTTTTTTTTTATACCTTGTCTGCCAACGCAATGTTAGATAATCTCTACCTAAGCTCTTTGTTTATACTTTTTCTCTTACGATAATTTATGAATCCATCTCTTTTTCCTTCCATCTGTGGGTAAATAACAGGACAGACCGGATCATATAACCTTGGTTTGCAACCACTCTAGGAGAAGGGCAATTATGAATCAAAACCTCCAACTATGGACTAAATAGTCTCCCCAACTCGCAATTGGCCAAGCGTCGTGTGTACGGTTACACCTCTGAAGACATGGTCAATCAAGGAGGGGGTTCCTCCATGGAGTGAGATGGCTCTGGTTCTGTTCTAACGAGCTTTAATCTCTGGTGCCTTTGTTAAGCTATCTTATACATGCAACCTTTATAATGGGTGTTTCATTAAGACGGATCATATATTTAAGTGTGTTTCATTAAGATGGATCATATATTTAAGGGTGTTTCATTAAGACGGATCATATATTTAAGGGTGTTTCATTAAGATGGATCAAAGTCAGCAGTAAATAAACCAGTGTTATTGGTGAAAAATTATTTACTTTTCTATTTGATCATGTTATTTAAGTCATGGCAATTATGTATGAAAAATCATATCGCCCAAATGTCTTCCAAATCTGAAACAAAAAGAAAAAAATATTCGACGCTTAAACTTAATTCACATTTAACATCTGTCAAAGTTATTGGAACACTCTTTATAACTAGTCTCCTTGTTTTGTATGCTATACATTGTCTCCTGACGCTAAGAATTTATATTTTGTCTCCTTTCACTATTTATAACTTCTCATTTTCACTATCTTTTTATACTTTGTTTCCTTACGGTATATTATACATTGTTAAACTACGCTATATTTTATACCTTGTATGTCTACTTTATTTATACCATGTCTCCTCTCTCTATCTTTTACAATGTATACCTACGTTCTATGTTATACTTTGTCGTTTTATACCGTCCTATACAGTAATTCCCCGGGTTAAGAGTGTCCCGACCCACGACGATTCGTGGTTACGACGCAATCTCCCTTAATCTAGTGCCGACTTATGCCGTTTGCCTTGTACATACAACGTCGTACGGCGCTAGAGCGAGAGAGGCGGTGTGGGTCAGCTCCTCGTTGTACGGCATATTGGATTGTTCTGTGTCCGCTCTCTTTCATTTGTGTTGTGTTTGTGGAAATGTATTGCTCTTCATTATGACTTCCAGGGATTAGTACAACCTCTTCTGGTGGTGGTGCTTTGAAGAAGAGGAGAGCCATTGTTGCAGCTTTTTGTATATATTATGCTTACTAGTCAGTTAGTCCAAATGACTTGACTCATTTTATAGTCCACCAATAGAAGGTTAACCAATCAGAAGACGTAGAATATTCAATCCGTCGTGTATAAAGGCGGCCATTTTGTTTACTCTATCCGAATGTCCAGTGCCAGCTTGTCAGGCGAAGAGAAACAGAAGGAATAACTACGCTCTGCTACTTTACCGGGATATCCACTGCTAACCTGAACTACGCTTCCCTACTGTCTTCGAAATATTCACTGCTAACCTCTGGATTCTATACTCAAAGACGACCGTCATGATGTATAACAGCCATCAATAGGGAAATGAAATTAGACATTGTTAAACGCATTGAAAAGGGAGAAACAGCAACGAGCATTGGCCGGTTGTTTCGCTTTAAGTCGTTCGACTGTCGCTACGATTATCATGGATAAAGATCACATTCTTGAACTTCTAAAAAGATCGGCTCCAAAGAAATGCACTGTTGTTACTAATTATTGAGATGGAAAGCTTACTGGTGGTTCGATTCGAAAACCAGAATCAATGTGAGTCTTAAAATAATTCAGGAGAAGGCTAAAAGATTGTCTGAGGTAATGAAAAATGAAAATCGGGAAGGGAATTAAAGTGAAGAGTTTTCGGCCAGTTAGTTTATCATTGGTAAATCGCGAGTACGTTCTAACTGAGACGTAAAACCGCGTTACGACTCATCGTCGGAAAGGAACTCTGCCGGAAATCGAGGCTTCCCTGTACATTGTGTGCTTATGCTATAAATTTATATCATGCCCACTTTTCACTATTTATTCCATGTCTCCTTACGCTACCCTATCTATTGTCTATCTACGCTATATTTTATAACGTGTCTTTTCGTAATTTGTCTCGCTTCTCTTTAAAAAAAAATATTTTGCTCCTACGAGGGCGAGTTGAAAATTTCATCGGCTGATTATAAAGGAGTGATGCTAGAACTGTGAAATCTTGCATACATCATTTCAACTCTTCTTATTAGTAACTGTATTGTTTCTTTTCAGGTCCAAGGGTGGGTTGAAAAGTTCATAGGCTGACTATGAAAAAGTGATTCTAGAGCCGTGGAATCTTTCCCGCGTTAATTTCAACTCTTCTTATTAATAACTGCATTGTTTCTTTCTGCGTACGGAGGTGGGCGGAAAAGTTCATAGGCTGACTATGAAGGAGTGATGCTAGAACTGTGAAACCTTGCATGCATTCATTTCAACTCTTCTTATTAATAACTGCATTGTTTCTTTCAAGAGAAGTCGCCACTCGTTACTTTGAAGTCTTTGAACAGTCAGATGTCAGTTATTTCACAGTTCTAGCATCACTCCTTCATGGTCAACCTATGGACATTACAGCTCACACTGGTATGTCACGCTGTACTCTTTTTGGGATTTTTTCTCATTGTTTTTCTCTTTTAGGATCTCTCTCTCTCTCTCCAATTTATTTTCTTCGTTGTGTCTCTACAGTATGTTTTTTCTTTCTATGCTGTTTCAATATATGTTTTACACTGTTTCTCAATCTTGTATAATTCTTTTTTCGCTTTCTGTCTTGTTTTTTTTTCCACACGAATATCTTGTTAGAGAGAAAATAGCAATATTATCAACAGGTTAAAAAGAACTCTTATTTTAGGGTGGAACGTTACGTTTTTGTTCATAATATTGGTTGTTCTTTTGTACGATCTTCAAACTTTGATTGGAGTCAAACGAAATAACACACTTAAAAACTCTAATGATTTCTTCCCACTGTGTTTAACCCAAACAAGATCGAAGTCTAGCTTATGCGTATCGAACTCACCCCGCCGTACTACTTATATCTGCTTTTATATTTGTTCCTATGCGTATATTGGCCTAGCCATGTTTCTTTTGGTGCACATAAATGGAATGCAAGCGTTAACAATAGGTGTAGTTTTGTATTCAGAGTTTAACGATGTCTAGAACAGGTTCGTAAATTTAGTTTATCACACGGCTTTCTGTAGAGGAGGACAACTGGTGTGAATCAAACATACTTGCTAGCAAATTAATCGGCGAGACATTTTTCACTTTTATAATAATGCATGCGTACCATTAATTACATATATATATATATATATATATATATGTATGTGTGTGTGTGTGTGTGTGTGTGTGTGTGTGTGTGTGTGTGTGTGTGTGTGTGTGTGTTTCGTTAAAGACGGCTAAGAAGGTATTTCGATTAAGCTTTTTATTTAATGTTTCTTGTGTTCGTACAAGTGTTTACTTTTCTGGACACAAATTGTATAAAAACTGCCTAAAAGTTCTGCATATCTGAGCGCTTTCGGCTATTCTTTTAGCCATAAAGGGGGACGATTTTTATTTCTTATATTTACATTACATTTTTATGTATGTATTTGAAGTGATAAGAATGGTTTATTTTCCAAACACTGTCAGCACATTGTAGCCGTGTTCGTAGATTTTTGTTATTGATTGTTGGCTTTTCCTTTTTTATTATTAGTGCTTCCATTATTTTAAATCTTTTTTTTTACATGTGCATGAGGCCATCATAATTGTATTTTCTACTAGAATGCTGCTGATGTGGTAGGTTTCCGTGTGTGTTTTAAGGAGTCTTGATTGAGCCATGGTCTCGTAGGTGTAAC